GCCCAACACCTGAAGAGAAAATGCTGACTTTAGCTCAGCGTTCTTCTGCTCCGATGATTATACTCTGGTACTGTCATTCAATGGTTTTGTAATGAGCAAACACACAAGCATCCTCGATGGAATAATATTAAATTGAAATGAAGAGAGCTGTGATAAAAGGATTAGCGAAAGAGAATTTTTAATTAGTTTTGTGAGGYAATTTCTCATGGCTTTCTGTTTTAACAGCCACCGAATTCTCAGGAAATTACACACACATATCTACAGTGCAATGATGGAATGCGTTTTTATTGACCGGGCAGTCTTAATAATGACAGATAATACCTTTTTATTTTTTATCTATTTTTTTTTTTCAGAAAATGTACATTAACAGCTTTTTCATTTGCAATCGTCCACAGTGTGCTGGTGACAGATGTAGCTTTATAGCTACTGCTGACAGAATGAATGTGCCATAATTGCAGGCAGTGTAGCAGAGGCTATCAGAGGCGAAATGCAGGTGTCAAATCCTGCAGCTGATGGCTGATTGTCTAATTGTAGCAATCAACCAGCTGAGTAGTGCTCCTCGCCCGCGTGGACAATGCATTAAAATGGCCTCTGATTTGAATTGACTAACCAATGTCCATAGCTGAAAATGTTTGGGAAAACTTTAGAAGTCTAGATTTTTCTTTAGGATAAGCTCGCCTCTGACTGCATCATGCTCACAGCTGCGTTTTCGCCTCCCACATCCTGTCACATCTGCTTTGTTACTAATGCTGTTTTTTAGCGTCTGCGGATGATGTTCAAACCCGTGGCCCTGGTGAAGTCTCAAGAAAATGGTCCGGATCAGCAGCCAGAAAACCAGAGTCAGAACCCAGTCAACGAGGAGGCCTACATCTAAATTCAAAGTTCTGCCTGTTTCTGGGTTTCGACGGCAAGACCGGCACTCCGTCGTAATCAAGGTTGGGAACGACCACTAGACTTCTATGTCTGCTTTTATTCACCTACCTCCTGGGGACACGTGAAACCAACCTGATTACAGTTATTGTTAGGGGGTTTTCTGTTTTGTTTATTTTTATAAAGCAGAGTTAAAAAATGTGTGAAGGAACATACAAATTACCCAGCAAAGTTGTTGTGACATTATAAATTTTATTATGCAAAAAAAAAGGAAAAAAAAGAACTTTAGTTGTCTTGGAAAAGCAAACGTGACTTATAGAAATCTATTGTATATTAAATGTGTACAATTTAAATCAGGAGGCTCATGCAGAATCAATGTAATTCCTCCAAGATATTAACAGTATACTAAACTTCAGACTACTGTACAAAAAAATATAAATACAAGATGTATTTTGTTTTGTACATTAAATAAGTACAATGAAATAAATGCTGTGTCAGGAGGAAAAACAGATGTTTAAATTTAAGAAAGAAGATTTATTATCAACAAATATGAAGCCAAGACTATATGGGAATGTGCAACAGATAAGGCCAAATAACTTCTATGTAAAAGATTTATCTTAGAGTATCAGTCCCTTACAGAGTCCTGCACACCACCAGTAATGTTTACCACCCACGTTGGGAACATTTAAAAAGCACAACATGGAATTTCTTCTTTTTGACATGACTGAAACCTGTGACAACAGCAAAAATAACTCAGAAAGAAAAAAAATATATAATAACTTAGCAAGAGACTGTTATAACTGTTTTCTTTTACTTGTTCATTTAGTTTTGTTTTCTAAAGAGCAATTCATTTTTGTGGAGTCTGAATCTTTTTTACAGTCATTTGTAGGTGATTTTCTATGTGTGAACATGAGAAGGACCAAATCACGCTTTAGCTCGAAGAGTTTGTGCAGAAGTTTGACCTGCTAACTAAATGCAGATTTAGAAAAAAATAAAATAAAACAAATGAAAAGAAAAGAAAAAAGCACCCCTTTTTGATGAAGTAGAGCAATAATTTAGGGGAAAACAACACAACATCAGCCTACAAGCACACTTGTTTACTCTGTGAACAAATCTCATATTTCCATTGGCAATCAAATGGGAAATGTTATTAGGGAAAGAAATACGTGGTTGCAAATATTCAATTTATTTTATACACAGTGAATAAGCTGCTGTCCTACATTGGAGGTAAAAAGAATTCTAACCACACTTCTTTACTTATATACCTGTTCAATAACACACTCCTCAGGAACAAAGGTAGATGTGACCAAATTGTTCAAAATATCACCCTGATTCATTTAAATAATAAGAACTGTTTTTGGAATTTCTATCATCCCCCTTATAAATTAAACATGCAGCAAAAGTCTTAGCATAAATGTGCACAAAGCGGCATTAAAAGCTGATCCAAATTGTTGCTTCTTGCTGTTGTATCATCTATTTGTGGCCTTTTAAGGATAGAAGCTATCATGTGTTTGAACTCTATAGCAAGTGCAAATATATATTATGAAACTTGGAGTGAGAAACTTTGGTTCAGTCAGAAATTAAAGTTGGCAAAGCAGCATAAACAACATAACATAGTCAAACACTTTACAGGTTAACGCCACTGAAATGTCCCCCTTTGGTACAATAAATTGATAGGACCCTGATTATGTAAAAAACACAACACTGTATAATAGAATTACACATGGATTATATAATTATGCTAGGTCCAAGACAAACCACAGATAGTACAACATCGAAGGGTCAAAACAAAATGCTTCAGTGGCAGCTACATGCATAGGAATCAGGTTGAATCAGTCCASTTTTCTCTTTCCTCTTTCAAAGATRTGTGAAATAAAATGTGCAATGACAAAAGCGTTCCATGAATTTTGTATAAAGTTACCATACTGCCGTTTCTCTCTTGAATGATGTTGTAAACTGGATTGTGTAATACATGTATCTGTGAATGTCCGTACACGCCGAGTTTATTTTTCTTTTTATTACGTCAAAATGTTGAATGAAAAATGTGATATTTGCTGTTTTCTGCAATAATACTATCTCAGAAACTAAGTCACATATCTCTCTTTGCTGAAAAAAATATACAATAATAATATATTAGAGTAATAATATTAAAGAATATATGAAATAATTTATTAGAAATGTCTAGTCAGAGAATATTGTTTTGTATATTTTTAGCTGTTACATGGGCCTAATGTAAAATATTCTATGTAAAAATATAATAAATGTCTTTAGATGGTGTTATTTGAAAAAGCATGATTGCTATATATGTATTGCAAAAATAAAGATCTATAGATTATAATGTCAGTATTAAGTCATTTTAAATTCATTTTCAGTTCATTCACATCCACTTCAACCCCATGTAAATTAATTTTACAAGCAAGGGCTGAAAGAAATCCTAATGAAATCATTTCAGTTTGCCTAGAGAATAATATTTTTAAAAACTTTGAAACCTCAGCTCAAAAGGTATGAAAATACTCTTCAGAATGTGCCTTCACGCCACAAAACGAACTTGCTCAGTGAAATGCTAATGCACTGTTTATTACATAAGTGGAAATGAATATGCAATCAGCTCCATCACCACAAAGATGTTGGCTGGCTTTAAGCTCGTCTGATAGTATCTGACAAAACAGCTCTGTGCTGCCGCAGTAATATCCCTCTGACACCTGCAGGGAAATCTGTGCCAGCAGAGACTCGAGCAGTCCTGGCTGCCGGCCTAAACCTCCCGGTCACAATGCATCATCCGTCACCCGGCGGCTGTGCAGCACTTACTTTTTTAAATCCCAAAAGAAACCAAACTTTTAGAAAAGTAACATTTTTGGTTTGCTAGCATTTCAGTTTCAAACAAGGTGGAACTCGTCATCAAAGCATCGATTGGCATGCCTCCRCCTGCCCTAGACRTGTCTGCCTTTGAAAAAGATGCCAAATACCAATCATCATAAATGGCCTTGACCTTTGACCTCTTGATGCCCAATTCTAATTAGACTAAGTACTACCCTAATGGAGTTACTATGCCTCTTTATAAGTAAATATGTAATTTTATTCAGGAGAAATTGTGCACACAAGATCACTCGTAATGGACGSACACCGCACTAACACACAGATAGCCTCCGGCCGCAGTGGGAGGAGGCATAATAAATGTGACCTATCATATTGAAATGAGGATTAAGTCAAATTCTGTCTAAATATCCTAATTACATTTTCAGATTTGTGGCTTTAAAAAGCTATATTTTGATATCTGGATCATTCTGATATCATAAGCTTATCCAGAGATATGACTTAATTTGTCTTGTTGGTTACAACACTACATTTACTGTTTGGTCTAAATCCTAATTTTATGTAAATTTATTGAGTAATTTTTTATGTCAATATGAAGAGGAAATCTCAAATAGTTTTATTAAGATTTCCCAGTTGAGAAAAAACAAAAACATTGCTAGCTCACAGGGAAAAATTCCAAATTTTAAGGCGTTTTTCCTCATAATCAGGTTTTTTTTTGTTGTTGTTGTTGCTACTGCTCAAAAAATGCTTTAAATTTTTTTTCAGGATTATATGTTAGACAGTTTACTGAAATGATTAACTGAAAAGGCATTAATTGAATATATTTTGATAAAATGCAAATTTTGAACACATTTAAACTTCTCCACATTCCACTTTTGGACTTAATCCTCGTTTCAGTGTGATGGGTCACACAAAGAAAGAAAGCAATAATATAACACAAAAGCAGCAATGGTTCGTACAAAACAAATGCTGCAAAACAAACTATAAATTCCTCAAAGTAACGAATATCACCTGCTGATGCCAAAGCTTTAAGCACARATCTCATGCTATCTTAGTGCTCAGAATACGTGGTGGGGATGACTCTCAGTTACTACCACGCCAGATTTTACTTCAATATATTTAAAACTGATGGATTTATAGACATGTTTGTGTCTCCTAAGATTGCTTCTCTGTAATCTTCTTCAATCAAGAGGGTTCCAAATATTAGTTGTTGATGTGCATCAAATAATACATTTCTGAGAGTTAAATTCATTTAGTGGTTTCCATATTAGCAATGATTTATTTATTTATTTATTTATTTATTTATTTATTTATTTAGCTTGAGTTTAACAAACTCCATTGTAAAGTTACTTTAACTTTAACTTTGTTAAGGCCATTTTTATCAGTCATTCAGTTGTGTTGGCTGTCTTGAATCAGGTTGACAAAAAATAGTATTCATTTGTACCTTTACAGTGAAAATGCATGTTTTTAATAGTTTCATTAAAACCCATGCACTGGTTTATGAGATTTTCTGCTAACATTATAGACATACAAATGAATGAATACACACGAAGGCAATTACATTATCTGCAGCAAGTGGCAAAGATAAGTCTGAGTAGAATAACAATCAGATAAAAAAGTAAGTAGGTGCAAAAATCAATAAAGTGGTTCAAATGTGAGCTCTGTTTTTCAAGTCATCCTGTCAGTCAAGTGCAACTGATCAAAATATTGGAATGGGGTTTGCATCTGCTTTTTGGACAAGATCCATGTTAAAGAAGATATATCATGCTCTTAAATCTTTCTTGTTCATATTTAAATAATTCAGTTTGGATCTATATAAAGTGGAACTGCAATGCTTTGGTCTGAATCCCTCCTCATTGTAACTCCACAAACCCCCTTTTCACCCTCTTCTGAGGTGTGACTCAGATCAACTTTTGATGCTGTCTCTTTATATCCCAATGAGGGATAAACTACAATAAGACTATACAGCGGTCCAGAAATGTTTAATTTACAAATTAATTTAAAAATGTCAACAATGGAAGACGTCCATCCAGCCTAACATGTTGGAGCCAGAGCCAGAGGAGAATGAAGACAACCAAATAGTAGTTGGTAAGTCCAGACCTTATTTGCCAGTTCTGTCACAAATAATTTGACATAATAGTTCAGAAAATATCATACAAAATAGAGAAAACTGACCAGGTTGAACAATATGACTCGCACACTACATTAAGATATCTTTGCAGCAGCAGGAGAGACTAAATTATTGTTATTTTTTGCACACCTAGAAACTCCAAGTTCACAACAAAATGCAGCTAAAAAAGTGGATTTTGCATAGCATGTCCCTTTTAAGTCTTTTCTTGTTGTCTTGCTTTACTAGTGTCAGGGGCTGATCTAGCAATGATTTAGCTTGTGGGAAAGGTTGTGCCAGCACCTGAGGTGTTGGACAAACCTGACACAATCCTTGATTTTGAAACACAAACATCTGACATTAACTTTTTCTCTGATGTGGAAATGCTCATCTGGAGTTGTATTTGAGGAAGTAAGATGGTTGTTGAGTTTGTGCCATACCTTGTGCTGCCTGCAGAGGCAGTCATTTAGAAGTTACCCTCATGGATGGTTTTAATGGCTTTACCAAACCACACACTTAAAACCTGTGTTTTGATTGGAACACTTAATTGTCCATACCAAAAATTACTTGACAAATCATTTCCTGTGATCCAACATATGATGATATTTATTGATCCACTATCTTTTAACAAAAATAATCTTGCTAGCCTACTTGAGCCCATATTTTTGATGGTGGCACCGGATCTTTTAAAGCTCCAACATATCAGTCCAGAAATTGTTGTGAAAGGTTTTGTTCCCTATACAGACAAATATATTTCCCATACTCGCAGCTACATCACAAAACCTTAAGGTAAAAAAYGATATCTGGGGCACACTGACAAGCACTTCCTCCATCTCTGGTAGGATCCCTGATGGAAATCTGAATCAGAATATGACTCATTCTTCTGTTCGTCTTCACAGCGAGGCCCTGATAGCATATCTCCTCCCAGCAGAGAGACAGACAGACAGGCAGTGAGAGAAGAAAATGCTCTTATCGCTGCCTGCCATATGATGGGATTAGCTGGAGTGTTGTCTAACAAAGCATTAATGAACAGTTTTAATTGCCTGCATGGCATACCCTGCCAAGCTCATGAACTACACACACACGCAAACACACACACGCACACAAAGCTTGACAAGCTATCATTATCAGGACATTGCACTAAAACACAATTTTTAACACACTACCTAATCAAAAATATTTACCTGTGAGTCCTGAGGGTCAAACTTGACTCATAATGACAACATCAGCTAAAAAACAAAAGAAAAAAAGTCATTTTTAGTTGCTTTGCTTTGTTTTCAGCAAAGATGTAATAWAGGTCAATGAATACTCAAATATTGTCAGTCATCTGGGACAATCCAATCCTATGCAATCCTTATTGCACTATATTACAATCTGGCTACAATAAAGCCAATGGACTTTAGTTTTAACACTTTATTCCTTAAAAAATGTCAGCAGTGTGTTAAAACAAGCAGAAAAGAATCTATTTATAGAAAGCATTCTTCTCAGCTATTTGAGTATCTAAAATCTGGCCTTTAAAATATCAAATTAGCAAATCAGTAGCTAAAAGCAAATAACTAAATAAATAAATGACAAAAGTACAGCTAAAAGTTCAATATGGTAAAAACTTAGCAACTAACTAAAATTTGCAAGAAAGTAGCTATAAGCTAAAAGGACCATTAGACAAAATTGGCACAAGAATGCTAAATTTATTCTCAGAGAACAATGTTTGTGACAAAATTTAACTTAACTATTTCTCTAAATCAGAACCAAAATTGGCCCACCAAGCCATTTAATTTGGCCCACCATTAGTTGCATTTGGTTGCAATCTCTTGTCATTATATTTCAGCACACATATGTAGATTTAAACACTTCATAAGACCACAAATAAGATTTATCAACTTTTGAAATGTCCCATGAGCCTTTGCTGTCCAAACATGTAAAACATCTATTATATTATTGCATTCGGCCCGCAACCTTTAAATAGATTTTAATTTTGGCCTACTCAGGGAAAAGGTTTAGGGATCCACTGTTACAAATAATGGTAAATAATAATATTATTAAAAAAATTCTAAAGGTTATAAACACTAATGAATCCAAACACTTGATATAGTRGTAAGAGTAAAACTAGCAGGTGAGTACAGATGGCAGGCTGTAAGCTAAATGTCTTCTTAAGAATCTTTTTTATTGTTATTTCAGTGGGACATAAGGAGGCTGTTCCAAAACATAAAGAGTGACTTTTCAGCYGGAAACACGTCCCCTCTCCTGAAAAAAAAAACAAGCTGAGAACCCCAATCGAGAGAGTGATTGCCACCAACGACAAACCCATCCCATCTCTTCCAATCTCTGAGGCTTTTTCCACGCCACATTTATCACCAAATGCACTAAAAGTGCTGATATGATGCATCTCAAAGCGGAGAGGCATCCCTCATTCTTCGAAACA